TCTCTCTCTCGCTCTCTCGCTCGCTCTCTCTCTCTCCCCCTCTCTCTCTCTCTCACTCTTCATATTTTTCACTGTCTCTCTCTCTACACGTTTATCTATTAATCCAAATGACATAGGATAAACATTAAAAACATGAAATCAAATAAAAATAGAATAATAAAAAAGAAACCATGTTCACACACAGGGCCTCCAGACGCTGCCGCTCCTGAACACGACCAGCAAGTGCGTTCAGTCTATCGGCGAAGGAATGGTCAAGGGCGCCTCCTGCCTCGAACACCACCGCTTCACGCCCTTCAGCTCCGAGAAGGGCGGGATCTTGACCACCGTGTCTCAGAACCTGACTTTTATTTACCACAAGTCTTCCTACGCTAAGATGGGTAAGGTCGGGGGATGGGTGGGTGGTGGGGGTGGGGGGGTGATGGTGATGATGGTGACTGAAAAGGGTAACAGATGATTTTAATATTGATGTATATACTACTATTACTCTACTAGTACAGTAACTGCTACTACTGTTCTTTCTACTTATAATGAAAATATCAAAATCAGTAATAATGATAATTAAAAGTAATTACAATAACAGTAATTATGATATTGATAATAATAACATCATAATCATCAACAGCAACAACAATAACGATAATGGCATTAGCAATAATAAATGATAATTATGATAATATGTCAGTCAGTTAATGAGTAAAACAATTTATCTTGTATATACCCTTTTGACTGAAGATTCGCCAATTTCCCACCATCAAAGACTAAAGACACCGTGCAAATCAACGGAGCTCAAATCACGAACCGAATTACCATAGAGAGAGATAACAACCAAACTTTCACGTACAGGTCCCATCCACGTTCGTACGGACTTGAAGTACGACCATCACAACCACATTCACGTCGAGGGTCTGGACGCCAAGAACATGAACGACTCGCAAGAATGGAGGGCTCGCTCGGACCTGATCCTCGACCAGATTGCAGAGAACAAAAAGGTATGGTTTCGGTTGTCTTAGTATTTAGTAATGATTTATTAATGATGGTTTATCTACTTTTTTTTAAAGATTTGCACTAAATCATATTTGATAAAGAGGCAACATAAAGATGAATAATGGTTTAGGTTGATTTAGTCTTTTTTTCTGATTTAATCTTCTCGTATCTGCTAATGAAAAAAAAAAAATAGTTTTGGTTTATCTGGACGTTTTAAGATTTACTGTGGTCATATTTGCTAATGGAAAAAAATAGATGAAATAAGAATAATTCACGACATTCCGAGTCTTACTAAACTCATCAGACGGCAAAATAATAAATAGTATTTGATTCGGTTCATTTCAATACTGTATCGTCTGGCGAGGAGTATGGTTGGAGTCGAAACGTTACAATTTGACATTCTTTTCTTATTGTGTTTATGTTTCATTCCTCTGTTTCCAGTTTCGTTCACACTGAATGCTATAGCTCATTTTTGTTTGGATTCGTTCATACTATTTTTCCATCTATGTTTAGACATTCTTTTTTTACTACCGGATGCCCTTCCTACCAACAAATCCTATTAACCCTATACAACCACATCACACTTACACACAAAATGCAATCTACCGGCGTCTCTCTTCCGACTTGCAGACCGAAGGCGTGGCCACCAGCGCCCCTCGCCTGTTCAAAGAGCTCGTGCAGTCGCTTCGGCATCTCGACTACGCTCAACTGTGGGCCATCTCTGAGGAGCGGGCGTGGGGACCCGAGCGGTGAGGAATTTGGAATGATTTAAAGGGGCGATGGCAGGACGAAGGGCTGATAAATATGAGGGACGGATTGTTAGATTGAATCGGTAGGGAGATAGGGGGTATGATAGATCGACAGATATAAAAGAGAGGCACAGAGGCAGACTTAGGTGGGCATAACTAATGGATATATTTTGACGTCATTGAGATACAAGCTGAATGAGGGACTATTGGATAAAAGAATAAAGTAGTCAAGACACAGAGTAACGTGATGATAAAGCCAGGAATAGACAGGATGATAGCCTAAGAGACAAGAATAGACAAATAGATCGAGTCAAGGGTGAAATCAATTGAAAAAAAAATACAGATAGACAGATATATCTTTAGATATAGCTTAAATAATAACAAGCTGTAAGTATAAATAACCGAGGAAAACTGCCCAAAACATACCCCAAATCATGAACATTACAAAATGAAAAAATAATACCCCCCAAAATATACTAAAAGTACATAAAACACAATAAAAAAAATCTTCATCCTTTGCAGAGGTGTGTTCGACGACGCCCTCCCCATGGTGGGCACGGGCGGGAGCGTGGGCGTGATGAGGGACCTGATGGAGGGCGGAAAGGTCAACGACATCATGACCAACACTTGGCTCACTTCCCTGTCCTTCATTCCCAGGTGAGGGGGCGGGCAGGGGGGGGGGGAGGGAATGAGTGTGAGGGAATGAATATCCTTTAAGGCTTTGCAATGGGCAGGGTGGGCGCGGGTAGATGGTGGGGGGGGGGGTGTCTGTGTTGCATGTCATAGGAGAAGAAGCGAATGAATGGAGAGAGGAGGGAATGCACGGATGGACTGCTATAGTTAGTGAATAGACTGGACGAGTATATATCTGTGTCTGTCTATCTATCTATGTGTGTGTGTGTGTGTGTATGTGTGTTTGTGCGTGTGTGTGTGTGTGTGTGTGTATGTGTGTGTGTGTGTGTGTATATAAATATATATATATATATATATATATATATATATATATATATATATATATAGAGAGAGAGAGAGAGAGAGAGAGAGAGAGAGAGAGAGAGAGAGAGAGAGAGAGAGGGAGAGAGAGAGAGAGAGATAAAGAAAGAGAGAGAGAGATAGATAGATAGATAGATAGAGAGAGAGAGAGAGAGAGAGTCACTTCAGCCTCTCCTATTCCCACAAGACCCGACCTGGACACGATCGAGATGGCGGCGCCCTTGCTCGAGACGGAGGCCGTGCCCGCCGACGCCTTCTTGGGCGTGGGCGCGCTGGTCCACTCGTACTGTCGAGATCACCCAGCCTGCAGTAGCGAGCCGCCCGTGCAGCGAGTCATGGACGCCCTCCACGGCTTCTTGGAAGGAGGCTGCCACAGGGAGTCTTCCGATGACAAAATTCAGGTAAGGAGGCGCCTAGAAACTTGCAAATACGTGTATCTCAGTTCGGATCTCGGTGGGTGAAGGGAAATGATTTATTTCAGTTTTATAAAAATACTGTAAAGGAAAGGTCTTTCTATTTAAAAAAATACCGCTCAGAAACCCAGCGAAAAGAGGGTTCTTTCACATTATATAAATCAATTTCGCTCTGCCATTACAACGCGGTTTGCAAAAAACAAGTAGAAAAATGGACTAACAGAATTTGCTTTCTTAGCATGTGTGTTTTTTTTTTTTAGTACTATGTATGAATAATTTTATTTCTCTATTATTAGAACACTGGATTTATATTTTTATATTGATTAGATCTGGTTGATTTTTTAAGATCATTGCAGTCTGCGTTAGCTCTCGTACAATTTATTTTGAAACTTAACAGCTTCTCTAGATGTGAACAACTTATTTTTTGTCTAAATCTTCAGTGAAATGCAAATAAACAATAACGAAGGGTACATTGCTCTAGACCTAACAGACTGTACACAACCGCACATACACGATAAAACGAAATGCTTCGGATATACCGCTAGCCTTTTGCTCAATCTATTTCTCGTCACCCAGATCCTGATGGCGCTGAAGGGGCTGGAGAACGCAGGTCTAGCCGTGAGCGAGACCATTCCGACGACCCTAGACCAGTGCATCCAAAACGAGTCTAACGAGAACGAAATCCGACTAGCTGCTATCTCTGCTTTCAGGTAATTGTAATAGGTTTCTCAGAGGGTATTATTCACTTACATTCGATGCGAAGGAAACACGTACTTTGATTTTTATACATGTATTTTTTTTTTTTATTATTCTTTCTTTCATTGTTCATGTTTCGTCTGTCTTTCCTTTACGTTTCTTTCTTCCAATCTATCCGTCTCTTACTCTCCTGTTTACACTCTTTCTGTCTCTTTCTTTCTTCCCTTTTTTTCACCCTTTCCTTTATTCTACTTTCATCCTTTCCTTTGCTCTACTTTCATCCTTTCCTTTTTATTCCCTTCATCCCTTATTTCTGACCCTATTTTGACTGCGACAGGCGGTTCCCCTGTGGCGTCTCCCGCGAGCCAGTCCGCCACGTGTTCCTCGACCCCGTGATGGACTCGGAGCTTCGAATAGCCGCTTACTTGGGGCTGATGCGCTGTATCGACTACGCCACGGTGCAACTCGTCAAGCATGTGTTGCTCCACGAAGAGGTCAATCAAGGTCAGGCGGGAGAGGAGTAGATGTGTTAGCCGTTGCACGAAAAGGGGTTTAAGGAAGAAAGAGAGAGAGAGAGAGAGAGAGAGAGAGAGAGAGAGAGAGAGAGAGAGAGAGAGAGAGAGAGAGAGAGAGAGAGAGAGAGAGAGGAGAGAGAATCGGCAGTGTATTGAATATGCTGTGTTATTGCCATCCAGATTATCTTATGTTAGTTTGTTAAGGCCATCATATGTAAAAAAAAAAAAAAAAAAAAAAAAAAAAAAAGTGTAGTCTAAGGGAATCATGTCCATATGAATTTACAGACAAACACAGACAGGCACTTAGGCATAGAAACAGATAGATGCGTATAAAGACAGACAGCAAGGCAAATCCACATACAATAAAAATATACAAATAGACAGAAAGACAGAAAAAAACATACCCACACCTAACTATACACACGTGGAGACAGTCAGACAAACAGATTAACAAATCCTTCCACAAATCCTCACCAACCGCTACTTTCACGCCCCCTGTCCTCGTCAAGAGCCATTTACACGCCCCCTGTCCTCACCAACAGCCATTTACACGCCCCCTGTCCACCCCAGCAGCCATTTACACGCCCCCTGTCCTCACAAACAGCCATTTACACGCCCCCTGTCCTCACCAACAGCCATTTACACACCCCCTGCCCTCACCAACAGCCATTTACACGCCCCCTGCCCTCACCAACAGCCATTTACACTCCCCCTGTCCTCACCAACAGCCCATTACACTCCCCCTGTCCTCACCAACAGCCATTTACACGCCCCCTGCCCTCACCAACAGCCATTTACACGCCCCCTGTCCTCACCAACAGCCATTTACACGCCCCCTGTCCTCACCAACAGCCATTTACACGCCCCCTGTCCTCACCAACAGCCATTTACACGCCCCCTGTCCTGCCCAACAGCCATTTACACGCCCCCTGTCCTCACCAACAGCCATTTACACGCCCCCTGTCCTCACCAACAGCCATTTACACGCCCCCTGTCCACCCCAGCAGCCATTTACACGCCCCCTGTCCTCACCAACAGCCACTCACACGTCTCCTCTCCCCCCCAGTTGGCTCGTTCGTCTGGACACACCTGCTGAACATGAAGGAGAGTGGGCTGCCTTCGCGAGCTGAGGTTCAAGGACTTCTTTCCAACCAAGAGATATCGTCCAAGTTCAGCGCAGATGTTCGCAAGTTTTCCCGTAACTTTGAGTGGTCTGGATTTTACGATGATCTTAATATCGGTAAGATAGGGTCGCGATTTTGGCCTGTTGTGTGAATGTGTACTTGTTTATTCACTAGTTTATTTGTTATTCTTATTGTTTTTGTTGTTGTTATTAATATTATTGTTATTATTTTATTATTATTTTATTACTTATCATTCATTATCTATCATTTATCATTTATCATCATCATCATCATCATCATCATCATCATCATCATCATCATCATCATCATCATCATCGTCATCATCGTCATCATCATCATCATTGTCATTATTATCATCATTATCATTATTATTATCATAATTTTATTATTATTATTATCATAATTTTATTATTATTATCATCATAATTTTATTATTGTTATTATCATAATTCTATTATTATTATCATCATAATTTTATAATCATTATTATTTTCACTATAGTTACCATAATTATCCTTATTATTTTCCTCATATTTTATCATTATTATTATTAGTAGTAGTACAGTTATCACTAATTTTGTTATTATCATTATCATCATTATCATCACCATCGTCACCATTATCAAATATTGTTATTTATTCTATTTCATTATTCTAATTATCATTATAATTATCATTTTTGATTGAGAATAATATCGACGCTCATTTAGGTATTATTTGAGAAACTAATTAACTTGTTCCATGATAAACTCTCCTTATACTTTTATAATTATGACCTCTCTCTCTCTCTCTCTCTCTCTCTCTCTCTCTCTCTCTCTCTCTCTCTCTCTCTCTCTCTCTCTCTCTCTCTCTCTCCTTCTCTCTCTCCTTCTCTCTCTCTCTCTCTCTCTCTCTCTCTCTCTCTCTCTCTCTCTCTCTCTCTCTCTCTCTCCCCCTCTCTCTCTCTCTTTCGCTCTCTTTTTCTATTTCTTTCTTTTTTGTTTGTTTGTTTCTCTCTTACTCTCTATCTTTCTTTCTTTCTTTCTCACTTACTCTATCTATCTGTCATCTCTCTCTCTCTCTCTGTCTGTCTGCCTGTCTCTCTCCCCCCCCCCCCCCCCCCCCTCTCTCTCTCTCTCTCTCTCTCTCTCTCTCTCTCTCTCTCTCTCTCTCTCTCTCTCTCTCTCTCTCTCTCTCTCTCTCTTCCCCTCTCTCTCTCTCTCCAGGAGCGGGAGTGGACGCCAACATCGTCTTTTCGCAGCATTCGTACATCCCTCGTTCGGTCACCTTCAACTTCACGACAGATCTCTTCGGCCGTTCTCTCAACCTGCTCGAGGTAAGTGTCAAGTTCGGCAAATTCGAAACTCGCACTCGCACTGACACTCGCACTCGCACTGACACTCGCACTCGCACTCATACTTACACTCACACTCGCACTCTCACTCGCACTCACACACACACACACACACACACACACACACACACACAGACACACACACACACACACACACACACACACATATCGTAATTTTATACATGCATACACTCTTTTCTCTTCCATCCATTTTATCAATTTCCTCAACTCTCCTCCCCACCTCCCACAGTTCGGCGCCCGGGCAGAAGGCTGGGAACGCTACACCGACTCCATCTATCGGCATTTCCAAGACTCAGACGAGCAGCACATCAGCAACCCGAAGATTCGTAACATGATAGCCATTTCGAAAAAGAAAGAGGAATATTTCGGCAAAGCAGCTGAGGTGAGTATTTATTTATTTATTATTATTATTTTTTAAGTAATGTATTTGTTCATTTATTTGATATTATTTATGTGTTTGACGTGACGCGGGTGGGTGAGTCTCCACGTGATGACTGTCAAGAGTCTTTGTGAAATAACGATAGGGGTGATTATGATTTATTTCTTTATCTATGTTTCCAGCTGATGTTGTAACTTTCTGATTTGCATACTGATGGTCTGACATGGACAGATATAACAAATCATCTGATAAGACGAACCGCAACGAACCATTGCCACCTTATATAGTCTGTTGAAAGCTAGCATGTTGCACAGCGAATGAAACGGAAGCTATGTAAGGCTTGGCGCTGTGGTTGAGATTGATGAATCCTGCTTCAACCAAAACCATATTAGGTTGTTGGGATTGGAGTGGTTGACAACAGCCTTTCGCCTTCAATTACATATATGGATGATTTCTTTTCCCACAAATTAAGAAGGTGACATGCTTCTTGTGTATGAGTCGATATAGCTCTCGAAAAACAAGAGTCTGTGAGAGAATTAATTTTAACGATATGCCTTCGGTGGTGAAAAACCTAAGAACCACTGTCTTGCGTTGTGCCTGTGCACGAAAGAAAATCTAAACTTGTCTCACTTTCCAATAAACTTAGTTTGTTTTTATCACCTAATAGTATCAGCAATATATATATATATATATATATATATATATATATATATATATATATATATATATATATATATATATATTTTCATTTACGAAGATCAGTATGTCCATATATTTAAAATATCTAGTTTATTAACGCTTTTCCCTTCGCAGTTGTCACTCAACTTGAAGACCTTTGGCAACGAGATCTACTACCGCCATCTACACGGGATGGACAAAATCGTGGAGGCCTTTAATGCTCTTAGTCCCATTGAGAGAATTATTAGACTTAATCAAGGAGAGGTAAGGTTTTTGCCAAATTAAGACCTCATTAAGATTTCGGGTAAGGATGTACACATCTAGATATGGGTAAAAAGAGATTGTTTGAAAGAGATTTTGTGAATTATATCTTAGTACAGACTGTAAAATCCGAGTGTTCCCTTTGTAACAAGAGCGATTTTAACTTGTAAGACAGTTTGTTCCTCATCGTTAATCCTTTTTTTGTATAACTTAGTTACAGCCATATTAAAAAAAAATACTATATGATAATTTTAATTACTCTGACTATCACCATTATTTCTATTCTGATATAATTACCATCGTCATCATTATCATTACCACCATCCATCATCAAGCTGTGTGGTGCAGCGGTAGCGATCTCGTCTAGCAATCTTGCTGACCTGCGTTCGAATCCCTCGCCGCCAGTGGATGGTAACCCCGGCCATTCCTTGCACACACGGGATAATTTAGAAGCAAAATAAAACAGATACTATGTCACACCAAGAATATCCATTGTAACAAATGGAATCAAATTAAACCTTTGAACCATTATCTTCCTCCCCTACTCTAATAACCCTCCCTATCAAAATTAAACAGACAGCCTATCACACCAAGAATACCCATTGCAACACATGGAATAAAACTACACTAAATGCTAATGACCCCCCCCCCCCATCGTGACTCCCTTCCAGGCCATCAACATGCAGAAGTCGTGGCTGGCCTCCGAGTCGGCCTTCATCATCCCGACCACAGCTGGAGTGCCACTTAACCTCACCCTCACCGCCAGCATCGCCCTCGACGTTCACGCCAGCGGAAATCTGGATATTTTTGACTTCGCTAAGACGGGGCAGGCGAGTATCAGCGGTCAGCTCAAACCTAGGTATGTGTGTTTGTTTTTTGTTGTTGGTTTTATTGTGTTTCATTTTGTTTTGTGTTTGTCTGTCTGTTTATTTGTTTATTTATTTATTTGTTTATTGATTTATCTCTTCATTTATCTCTCTGTTTATTTATCTATATATTTTTATTTTCGTATTGGGTGAAAAGTAAAAATTTTATATTCAAATTACATGGTATACCTCTTTTATTTTTGTTATATATGGTCTGTTGTTATCACTAATTATTTTTTATTTTCAAAATGAAAGTGTCATATCCTAAATCAGCAAACTAACTGTTCATTACATTAATTCAATTCTAATTTTCATTACATCATAACATTAAGAAACCTTAAAACCAGAGACATTTAAGCCTACCTGAACTTCAACCTTAATCTATTTCACAGCGTGGGCGTTGAAGTAGTGGGCTCCATGCTGGTTGACGGCCACGCTGCTCAATCCGGCGCACAGCTGGTGACAACTCTCCACTCTTCCACCGTGGTTGACGGGAGGTTTGACATCGGTGGGTCAGAGTTCGTGCGGGTTGACATCAACATGCCCAGAGAGAAGGTCGAGATCATGAACTTCACGTAAGGCTCGACGTCGTTTTCTGTTGGTGAAGTTGTGTGGCTGCGCCGTTTTCTGTTGGTGAAGTTGTGTGGATATGCCGTTTTCTGTTGGTGAGGTTGTGTGGGTGCGTCGTTTTCTGTTGGTGAAGTTGTGTGGATATGCCGTTTTCTGTTGGTGAGGTTGTGTGGGTGCGTCGTTTTCTGTTGGTGAGGTTGTGTGGATGCGTCGTTTTCTGTTGGTGAAGTTGTGTGGGTGCGTCGTTTTCTGTTGGTGAGGTTGTGTGGATGCGTCGTTTTCTGTTGGTGAAGTTGTGTGGGTGCGTCGTTTTCTGTTGGTGAAGTTGTGTGGGTGCGTCGTTTTCTGTTGGTGAAGTTGAGTGGGTGCGCCGTTTACAGTTAGAGAATGCGTGTCG